GGAGCGACCGGCACCGGCACCGGCACCGCCGGGAGGGACACGGCGGGACCCGCAGCCTCGTCCCCTTCCTCCAGGACAGGGGTCCCGGCTTTGCCTGCCCCGCCCCACCCCAACCCCTCGGATCCCTCCAGCTGTGGGTGGGGAAACTGAGGCACGAGGGGGTTGCCCGGTGATGGCAGAGGGGCTGGCCAGGATCCTGCCCGGGGGTCCCTGCAGCAAGAGGGGGTCGGTCCCTTCTCCCAAGTCACAAGTGGTAGAACAAGAGGGAACGGCCTCAAGTTGCACCAGGGGAGGCTGAGGTTGGATTTTAGGGACAATTTGTTCCCCCCCCCCAAGGCTTGGCAGGCACTGGAGCAGGTCACCAGCGTCCCTGGAGGTATTGAAAAGACATGCAGAGGTGGTGGACTTGGTAGTGCTGGGTTAAGGGTTGGGCACAAGGAGGACATGGAGCTGTTGGAGTGAGTTCAGAGGAGGCCACAGAGATATTCCAAGGGCTGGAGCAGCTCTGCTGTGAGGAGTGGCTGGGAGAGTTGGGGTGTTCAGCCTGGAGAAGAGAGGGGAGACCTGAGAGCACTTTCCAGTGCCTGAAGGGGCTCCAGGAAAGCTGGGGAGGGGCTTTTTACAAGGATAGGGAATGATAGGACAAGAGGAAATGCTCTTTCAAGCTGCAAGAGGAGAGACTGAAATAAGAGGAAGAAATTCTTTGCTGTGAGGGTGGTGAGAGCCTGGCCCAGGTTGCCCAGGGAAGCTGTGGCTGCCCCATCCCTGGCAGTGTTGAAGGGCAGGTTGGATGGGGCTTGGAGCAGCCTGGGCTGGTGGGAGGTGTCCCTGCCCATGCAGGGGGGTTGGGAATAGATGATCTTTAGGTCCTTTTCAATCCAAAGCAGCCTGGGACTCCATGCTCGGGCCATGCTGCTCTTCTCATCCTGACGTGCCAGCTCCCACACTCAGGGATGCTGCAGGAGGTGAAGGGATCTGCTTGGACCCTTTGTCCTTCGGGACCACCACGTCCAGGCAGCCCCAGAAGGGGCTGGTGGGGCTGGGGGGGGGCTGGGGGCACGGCCGGGCGGGCAGGGAGCGGAGCGGGGCAGCGGGCGGGCAGGAAAAGGGAAGCTGAAAGGCACGGTGGGTTGAGCAACGTGTCAATCACAGCCCCGGCTCGGGGACCGCAAACCCCAGCGCCCTTCCCATGCAGGGCTCAGCTCCCCGGGCAGGGCTGGGGGGTCCCCTGCCCCGCGGGAAGGGGGAGCTGCAGTTCATTGGGGTGCTGGTCAGGGGCTTGGCCGTCCTGGTGGCTTTGCTGTCCTGGTGGCTTGGCCATCCTGGTGGCTCTCCCATCCTGGTGGCTCTCCCATCCCTCAGGAAGGCCGGGCTGGCCCCAGGCATGGCGTGGTGCAGCCAGGTTTTGGGAAGCTTTAGCCCCTCATGGCTCATCCTGCAAAACCCACTGGTGTGAGTGGTCCCCGTGTCCCCTCCTGCTGCAGGGTGTCCTGCCTGCACCCATCCCCCCCTGCGTGCCAGGGAGCTGTGGTTTGGCTGGGGGTGTGGATGAGGAACCCACTGGCTGTTTCCCCCCCTATCCCTGGCCTCTCCAGCTGCTTCTCCAGGCAGGGAGCAGCTGCCTGGCACGCCACGGGCAGCCAGCACGTGGCACATCCTTGCAGCACCTTCTCCACCATCCTACAGGACTGGAGAGGATAGATGGGATGGAAAGGTGATGCATGGGGAAACCCACCTGTGCTTGTCCTTGCAATACGGGCCTTTCCAGAGCGGGAATATCCCCATGTCCATCCTCTTTGCCCTTTTCCTCCTTCAAATAATCTGCTTTTTGCAGCCTCCCAGTTTACCCTGGGCTGGAGGAAAGCAAGAGTGGCCCATGGGGATGGGGCTGCAGCAGCCCAGGGGGGGGTCCTTTTGGCCAAGATGCCACAGAGAGCTGATGGAGAAACCAGGGCAATCCCTGCTGCTCAGCCATTTCAGCTCTGGCCGGCAGGAATTCCACCCAGCTCACTAAAAATAAGTTAATTATAAAGAAACTCAGATGAAAAGGATCTAATTTTAGCTCAGAACAGGGAGGGACGAGGAAGCCAGGCAAGAAATCTGCCCGACGCCAACGTGTGGCAGGATGATTTATTGTGTATTAAAAGGGCTGGAAGGAAATAAGTCATTGATGAGGGTGACTTCATCAGTGCATGTTCACACACATCTTCCTGATGGGGCTTGTCAGGCAGCGCCCCAGGAAAGAGGTCCTCAGTTTTGGGGGGCTCCTGGGTGTCATAGAGGTTCTTTATAGCCTGGGGGAACCTGCAAGAAAGGGGAAATAGTCCAGGGTGGGATGGATTTGACCTGTCAAGTTTCTCCCTGCCTGTGGGGAGCAGGGTGATGGCACCCAAGAGTGGATTTTGGCTTTCTCCTTAACCCCAAGGGAGAGGGAGAAGAGAAAAACGGGGGATTTTGTGTTTTTTTCAGAGGTATCTGATTACTGCAACTGTCTTTGTGTCTTTGCAGGACATGACCTACCTCTGTATCTCAGCCTCGGATTCATCCAGTCAAAACCTGTAAGTCCTGTTTGCCTCCCAGCACCATGTGTCCGTGGTGGGGGGACAATAACAGCTCTGATTCCACAGGATGAAGGTTGCTGAGAGGACTTTTTATCATTGCTGAGCTTGACAGAAGCTGTGGTTCCTTCTCAGGTGACAAACTTGGGCTTGAAATCTGCTGCTGGCTGTGTTTGCAGGCAGTAAATTTAATTTTCCATCCATTTTCAGGATTATTCTACTGGGCAGGGTTGGGAATTGGAGCATTAGAAGGACAAGGGTTTGTGTCAGTCTTCCCAAATTGCAAAGAGAAGCAAAATCCTAAAACCAATGGGTTTTTTTCCCCATACAAAGCACAGATATTCATTAGTCTTTTAACTAAATGCTGGAGATGAAGCTGCTGAGACAGAGCCCAGGGTTTCACAGGACATGGTGGTGGGGTCCATGGGCACAGGAGCTGCTGGCACCGGGGGGTGTCACTTTGGTCATCCATAAACCACCAGGAGATGGGCAACTCGGAGGGATTTTTCAATCAAACCCTAAAAAGGATTGAAACTCCACACTCGGAGCCTGAGGCAGAGACTGTTTGTGGTGTTTGTGGAGGTGTTGGGTTTCCAGCATCCTTGGGAGCAGCTGTGCCCCGGGGTGGGATTCTGATGGCTCATGCTCCTGCTGAGAGGAAAGAGAAGCTTTACAAGAAAGCCCTGCCTCAGCAAGAACAGGGTTCCTTGGTTGTAAGGGTTTTTTTTCCTTTCTGTTTGTGGCATGTCTGCTGAAAGGGGGGAGGGAACAAAGGAAAAAAACCCAGAGCATAAGCTCGGCTGCCGGAAGGAAGACTCCTTGAAGGAGCTATTTTCTGCTTGTCAGTTTATGCCGTGGATTTCACAATCCTGGTGAACTTTGTGTCCTGCAGAGGAGATGCTTGTGACTCAGGACCTCAGTGGGTCTCAGTGTTACTTCAGTCCTCTCTCACTTTCAGGCTGGAAAGGTAGAGGGAGAGCTTTCCTCTGCCTGCCCGGGTGGGTGAGGGTGGATGGGGTGGCTGCTGGATTCCTGCCCTCCGGGATGAGTTGGGAAAGTGATGCTGTGAGCGTGGAGAGGCTGGAGGCTGCTGGCAAGTGTGCCAAGGGAGCTGGAGGCAAAAGCATTGTGCCCTTGTAAGCAAGGTGCTTCCCTGCTGGTCCCAGCCAAGGGGCTGGAGAGGAGGACGGATCTGGAGAGCTTGGACCAGGGTGGGCATCATGTGCAGGCCCTGAGGGATGCTCTCTGCTCTGTGGAGACAATAAGATGAAGAGAAACCCCCTGGGATGAGCTTTGGGCAGAGAAAGGCTACCACAAAGGGTGATGCTCTGTGGTCAAGGATGAGGCACATCCAATGAAGAGTGATGGACTGACATCTTCCAGGGCTGAGAAGCTCAATATTTTGAGTATGACCAACATCTTCAGAATCTCCCCCACCTCTCCTCCTCTACTTGGGATGCAGAACCCCTGGCTAGTTTTGAATACGTCCTTGGCTGGTTTCTTAGGAGGTTCCTGAGCCCTTTCCTTCTGGGGGAGGGTGAAGAGCAGCATCCCCTTCATCCTTCTTCCAGGGCAGAATGAAGAGCATTTCCTTTGATGGGCTAGCTTGGATTTTGCCTTCAGGAAAGCTGACTCTGAGCCCTGGAGGTCTCCTGGGAAGGCTGTGCTGGAAGCCAGCCCTTGGCGAGGGGCACGGGGGGAATAACTCTGCAGGAGCTCATGCCTTGGCTTCTGAGAAATCAGGAAGGCTGTGGAGGCAAACGCCCACCCCGTCACGTGGAGGCAGAGGAAGTCCAGCACTGGAGAAGGGACAGCCCAAGTTACCCAGAACCAGTTTTTCTGCCTCAAAACTCCCCCAGGGTTTGGTGGGACCTGCGAGGGTGAGCAGGGATGGGCTTGGTGTGGGGCTCCTGGAGGTGCTCACCCTCTTCAAGAGGGATGGCATTGCCCTGCTCCCATCCTGATGCCTTGGGCAACAGGAAATCTCCTGGAAACTATCCTAGATAATGTCCTTCCTGGTAGATGAAAACCAACCCCTCTGCCTTCACCTGGCAGTGGGAGGATCTCTGCTCCCACCCTGCACTGGTGGCTGCAGGATGGTGGGAAGCCCACAAGTGCTGCTGGTGGTTGGGCAGGTGCCTTGCAGGGGTGGGCAGCCCTCCCTTCCTCACCTCCCTCCCTCTCTCCTTGCAGGCTGCAGCATTTTAAGGAGTGCATCAAGTTCATCCACGAATGCCGGCTCGGTGGGGGAGGCTGCCTGGTCCATTGGTGAGAGCTGCTGTCACCACCTCCTGTCCCTTGCTTGCACTGGTCCTTTGGGAGGTGGGGATGGGCTCCCCAAAAAGTGTCCTTCATGTCAAATGGCACCTGTGGTAGGGAGGAAGAAGAGAAGAGAAGCAGGGGAGGGCGAGAGGGAAGGTCTCTATTGCCACGACCCTTGGGGATGGGTGGTCCATGCACTGGGAACTTCAGCATCCAAAGAAGGGGGACAGGGGTAAACCACATGCCTGGAGTCACCAGCAGTGGGACCCTGTCCAGGTAGCTCCCTACCCCAACCCGTGGCCAGGGAACCCTGCTAGAGGGAGTGCCCACGGGAAGGTGCATCCCACGGGCATCCCTTGCTCCGCGGTGGGAAAACCTCTCCCTGACTCTGCTCCCTTGGCCCGGGCCAGCCTGGCTGGGGTGTCCCGCAGCACCACCATCCTGGTGGCATACCTCATGACAGTGACTGAGCTGGGCTGGGAGAGCTGCCTGGCTGCCACCAGGGCCTCCAGGTCCTACGCCAGCCCCAACTGTGGCTTCCAGCAGCAGCTGCAGGAGTACGAGGCGACCCTGCTGCAGGAGGGGGAGCTGCAGGAGTACGAGGCGCCCCTGCTGCAGGAGGTAGGTCCCGCGCCCACCTCCCCTTCTACAGGTGGCTGCAGAGTTTGTGAGTGGGCAGGACTTTTTATTTTGCATGCAGCTTTGCCAGGGCTATTTCTTACCTGGGGATTTTGGGGTTTGCACGCCAAAAACCCCACGAAACCAACAACCAAACACGAAGAAGGAAAGAGAACCAACCGAGACGCGCCGAGATGCGTCGGGAGGGCACTTGAGAGAAGCTCCTCCAAACCCCAGTGCTTTTCTGGAGAGTTCGGTCAGGACACAGCGGGAGGGATTGGCCAGCATCAGGTCACCCGGGAGCCTCGGGAAAGGGGTTGGGCCGGTTCCCGGGAATGCGGGAAGGGGGAGGAAGGCTCTTGTGAGCGGCTGCGGGATGTCTGGGCGTTCTCGGAACTGGCCGGGCTTCCCCTGACAGCAACTTCTAGAGAGGCAGGCGATGGAGAGGAGCAAGTGGTGATGGAGAAATTCTCCTCTCCCCTTCTCAAAATGATGTGGAGCAGAAGTTTTGGAAGGGCAGGAGCCTGGCGGGCAGGTTCAAGGGAGGGATGTTGAAGCTAAGCTGAGCTGGGTGCCAGCAGCTGGGAGGGACAGGGGCATGTTTTCTCAGGAGAGCACCAGTTGCAGGGGGTCAGAGCTGCACTTTTGGCCTGGAAAGCCTTGGAAAGCAAAGGGAAATGCCTCTAAGGGCACTGCTCCTGCCCTGCTCCAGCCTCCCACGCCAGACCCTGCTTCTCTGCCCAGCCCTGGGCTCTGCAGAAAAGGACCAGTGTCCAAAACTGCCCTGTGAGGGCACACGGGCCATGGGTGGACCCCTGCAGGACACAAGGAACCCACAACTCGATGTGTACAAGGCATCTCACAGCCCACGACACCCCAAAAACCTGGTCCCAGCCCTGGAGGTGAAGCCCCTCCCTCTGCCCCAGGCATCTTGCAAGGGCCCCGTGGCAAAATGTCAGCGGAGACCCCTGGGTCCCTCCAGCCCCACCAAGCACTTCCAGGGGATTTCTCTCCTCCCAGAAGAGAGGCAGGGACAGCATGTGACACGGGCCCCAGTGTCAGCCCCTTCCCCTCTGCCCAGTTTGCTGTCACATGAGGAGATGCCCCGTTACCACCCCCTTGGCAAAAAAAAAGAACCACCAACCCAAAACCAACCCACGGATGGGGGTGGAAAATGGCCTGAGGGATTACAAAACACCCGTGGTGCTGGAGATTCCCTGTGGGGCTTCCCCTGGCCAGGGCAGCTCCCCCCAGCCCTTCCCACGCTCTGGCCACGTCCCAGCACTGGCAGCCAGGCAGGGTTTGCTGTGATCCAACCCCCCCTCCATCCAAACTATTCCTCCTGCTCCCCAACATCCCAGCTGGGCTCAGCAAATGCTGGACTTTCCTCCCTTTCCCTCTGGTGCTGCTTTTACCATCACCTCAAATTTTTGCCTGGGCCTTTGCAAGCGTTTCCCTGAGCATCCCTGAACATCCCAAAGGCAGATCCAAGGGTGGAGACACTTAGATGTGTTGTCATTTATTTTTCTTCTGGGGAGCTGTGGGGTTTTAGCAAGAGCCTCTTTTTACTTGAAACATTCCTCACCATCACTGTGCTGGGGGAGGAGGGAAGCTGTGGATGACCCTGGTGGGTGGATTGCTGTGAGCTCGGCCCCAGGGGCAGAGGTTGGGTGCTGGAGCTGGGAATGTTCTGGCATTACTCACCCACAGCTGCATTTGGAGAAGGGGAAGAGCCAGGGTGGATGCTCCAAGCTGACCACTTGTTCCCTGCTCCCTCCCCCTCTGTGAGAGGAAGGGATTAGCAGGCAGGTCAGCTGAGGTGGATGGCTGGGGGTCTGGTGGGTGCTGGAGGCATGAGCCTGCATGGCCAGTGGCCCAGGGGACCTGCTGGCACCTGGGTCCTGTGCCTTTCACCCTGCCAAGCAGCTGCAGTTTGCTTACCTCAGCCGTGGGAGGTCACACCTGCTTCCCCTTGGTGGCTTTGGGGTGGTTTTCCGTGCAGTAGGTGAGAGGCAGGAGCAAGGGTGTTGTGACCTGAGCTTCGGCTTTTGCTGAGGGTAGAAAAGAGGTTTAGTTCCCCCATTTAGCCCAGCTGCCATCCCAGCAGGGCGCTGGGGGTGCTCAGGAGGAAAAGCCTCATGTAGGGTTGTCCAAAACCTGCCAGGAACCAGCCAGTCCTCCTGGGGACCTCCTTCTGTCCTCCTCCCCAGGGCTGCAGCCAAGCATCCTTTGGTGCCTTGGTTTCCTTGATCCAAAGCAGGGACCTCAGACAGGACCCCGGGAAGTAGAAATGGGGAAGATGTTCCCTGGGACAGGGCAGCCAGCTGCAGGAAGCACCCCTCGAGCGTGCAGCTGTGGTTTCGAGCTGGCAAATGGTGCTCATCAGGGCTGGATGGATAAAGAAGGAAGGAAAGGACCAAGAGCAGCAGCAGGATGATGGGTAAGGTTAGAAAAGGAAGTAAGTCAGCAGCAGAGAACAGAGCGTGGATGTGAGAGAAGGCACAGATGGGCATTTGGGTGATGGACTCGTTTACCCCCTGCCTCAAGGTCCCCCTGTGGTGCTGGCACACCCTGGCCAGGCTGCCTTTCACCCCCCCTCCAGTGCCATCCCAGCTGGGACTGGTGCTCCTGGCGTGGGGAGAGAGGAGGAGGGCACTGGGTTAGTGGTCAGGGCTGGAGGAAACGGGCTGTAACCACTTCTTGCTCTGGTTTGAGAAGGAAACGCCTGGCAGCAGCAGCAGGGGGCTTCCCCCTGCCCCCACCAGCTCCTGCCATCCCTCCCTGGGTGGGGGGAGCCAGCTCTGAGGCTGGGCAGTGGGTGCTGAACCCTGGTGGGTGCTGAACATTAGTGGATGCTGAGCCTCTGTGGCCAGGCTGCTCTGCCCATGGGATGGTTTGCACAGGAGGGGTGTTCTCCCCATGAGCAGCTGCCATGGATACTTGCCATGAATCTTATTCCAAATCCTGTACCAAATCCTTTGGGACTCCCTTCCCAGGGGTTGTTCTGGAGCTGGGAAATCAGGCCTGGCTCTCAAGGTCCATCCCAAAGAAGGGCAGGCAGGGAGCCTGCAGCAGCTGTGCCAAGTCCTCCTGTCCAGTGGAGTGGATTTAGGAAATCCAGGCATTCCCAGTGGAAATCCCCTCTGAGCTGACTCTCCTTGGCTGCAGGAGAAGGGGATGTCTTTAGGGTCAGCCTCAGTCTTTATCTTCTTGCAGCTCATGGTCCTTGTGCCTGTGGTGGCCCTGGCAGGACAGGGCTGAGCCACCTGTCCCACTGTCCTGCACCTTGGCTGTGGGGTGTTCCCACGGCTCCCCGGGAAGCTGGGGACACTGTGGGGACATTGGGGGTGCCAAGGCTGGGCAGGTTGGGGGCTGCCTGCCCTCTCACAGAACCCTTCTGGTTGGAAAAGACCTTTAAGATCATAGAGTGCAACCATTAACCCAACTGTCCTGAGTCCAGCGCTCTCCCTCTGCTTCCCTGGGCTGCATCCCAGTGCCAGGGCTCTGATGCTCAGTCCCTCTCTTGGCCCTTCATACCCACTTTTCTAACCCTGTGTCCTCCATCCTTTTCCTATGGTGCTTGGCACTGCTGGGCATGCTCCTACCACTGATCCCAGTAAGCCCTGCTTGCTGGAGCAGCCAGTTCCCAGCTCCCAGTAGAGCTGCCTGTTCCTGCCCACACTTCTGGGTTCTCCAGCCTGGAGCCGTGTGGTCGTGTCTCATCCCAGCAGGAGTGGGAAGCATTTCCACAAACTGTCTCTCACTTCTCAGCCACCTCCAGACCTCAGCCTGCTGCCAGCTGGCTCCTGGCCACGGACAGATACCTGGGATGCCGTGGGGGATGAGAATCACCCCTCAAACTGCCCACGGTGAGCAAGATGCTCTGCAAACAAACCTGCCCGGACCTGCCGGAGCTGAGGCAGCTGTGCAGCTTGTGGAAGCAATTCCAGCCCGTCCCCATGGCAGGGAGGAAGCGTGGGGAAGCTTTCCTGATGGGAATGGGAGGCACACAGGGAACAACGACAGCTTCTTGGCAATGAAGAGCAGAGCCACTGTCCTGGCTGCAGCCTGTGGGAGATGCTGGGGGTGCTGCTCTCCAGGTCTGTCCGTGCCAGGCTGGGGTGTGGGAAGTGCTCACCTGGGGGGAGCCAACCACGGTGTGTGAGCTCCTGTGGAACCAGGACCTTGGTGCTGGCCATGTCTGGGGATGCCTTGGGCTGTGGCCAGGATGCTGCAGGCATTGCCCTTGCTGCTTCCCACCAGAGCTGCCTCAAGCCCCTGCTCTCAATCGGGGGGTGTCTCAGCCCCCCGTGACCTTGACAACCTCTTTTATCCTGGCAGTACCGCTCCTGGATCCGCCGGGACTACGGCAGGAACCCCTTCAAGGACCAGGAGGAGCTGCAGTGCTTGCTGGCCCAGCAGAAGGAGCAGCAGCTGGGGAGCAGGGATGGCTCCTGGCTCTGCTCCCCAGCTCCCACCTCCCCGCTCCCCCACCGTGCAGGTGGCCAGGGCAGAAGCAGATGGATGAACAGATAAGCAGCTGGGCTGCTGGAAGGCAGACCTTGGCCCCAGGGCTTGGAAAACTCTGTGTTCCCTTTGCCAAGTGCCCGTGGGGTTGTGTCCAGGGCAGCAAGGAGCCAGCATCGGGCTCGGCCGTGGCCTCCAGGGTTGGAGCAAGGGCTCACGACTGGGACACCCTCCCCTTGGCTGCTGGCTCAGTGTGTACCTCCAGGCAAACCAGCTAATTGCTGACAGTGTCTTGCTCTGTCCTGTTCCCTCGTTCCCTGGTGGATCACAGCCACTTTTCCATCTCCCAGGCCAGCAGGAAGTCCTGCCCTCCTTCCCTGAACCAGCACAGTATCCGGGTGCTCCTCTGGCTGGGCACGGGGATGCCAACCCAGACCTTGGAAAGCCAGGGTGGGATGAGATGGGGAGAGGCCACCTTGGAACCTGGAGGCTGCTCCAAGGAGACAGGGATGGCTTCTGGGGTGCAGGTGTCTTGCCAAGCCCGGCTGTCACCCCGTGGGATGGGGAGAGGGGCTGGAGGCTGAGCTGTTCATGGGGTTGCAGATCCCTCTTGCCATGTTTGGACTTCCCTGGCCCAGCCTGTCCTTGGCAGATGTCTGTCTGGCATTTTTGCTTCGCCACCCTCCCAGGGAGGGGGGAAATCCAGAGGTGCCAGAGGCTGCAGATCCCCACCGCCTCCATCCCCAGAGCTGGAGTGGTTTTGGGTTTCCCCTCCTGCCTGATCTGGATGTCCCCAGTTGCAAAAGAAGCCACTGGCTCCATTGGACTCAGTCGACCGCAGACCAGTTTAACACTGTCCCTCTCCAGCAGCCTTTTTAATACTGAGAGACTGTGGCCCTGTCCCTTTTTTCACCCAAACTCACACAGTGTGTTCCCAAAGTGTGGGTTTCCCTTGCCAGGACTCCCCACATCCATCCTACAAGGGATCCTACAATCCATCCCAACCCGTTGGCTCAGCCCTTCTACATTGAAACCTTCAACTCTCCCACTGTTGTCTATAAATCCCTTGCCTGCCTTCTGAAAAAGATCTTTTCTGCAATCCCTGCTGGGAAAGGGAGAAAAAAAAAAGACCCTTAGATTATTTCTAGGAATTCCCTTAATGAAAATTTCTGGGTACTCCAAGTGTGACAGGGCTGGGGGTAACTTGCCCAACTCCTAATAAAGAGGAGGGTGATTAAAACCATAAGTGTGGCTGCTCTGGATTTGCCATGTTCCTGGACTCAATGTTTAGGATTCTGGGGAAAAAAAATAATTCTTGGGAATTTTCCCTGTGTTTAGGGTGAGGAAAAGGTCCCTTGGGCTGTTATTCCACATGGAGGAATGCTGTGGTTTGTGCCCTCAGCATGGGAAAAGCAGGGAAAGCATCCCAAGGAATGAAGGAGATGGAGGCCCATAAATGCTGCTGCTGGAGGTGGACTGAAGGGAAGCTGAGCAGACTGGGGGAGATATTGGCTGTAATGCCTCCCTTATCATTTCAGGAAGCAGAAAAATGGAACTCCTGCACAGGAAAAAAAAAGAGAAGCAGGTTGGTTTCTGGTCTTAATAGGAAGTCATTGCAGAGATGTGATAAGCAGAGATTAGATTTGCAGGATGTGGGATAACCTCTGCAGAGTCCTGCACCAGCCTGGATGCCCCTTCCCAACCAGCACTCAAACATTCCCCAAGGGATGCACCAAAGCAGGTGCTACCCCTGGAAAAATCCCCCTGATTTTGGGAAGCACAAGGGATGCTCCCCCTGAGCTTCAGCACCACCCACGGCATCACAGCAGCAACTGTTGCTGAAATACCATCTCCTAACCCAAATTTCCCCCACATTTAAGGGGTGTCCCTTAAATACACATATTTTTCCCCTCTGGCTTCCATCAGTGGGACCTGGCGGGGCTTTAGGACACCTGGGCACTGAAACAAAACCTGAAGAAGGTAAAACTGGGCTGATATTTGCTGCTTTCTGCAGGCTCTGCTGCCCAGCTCGCCCTGTTGGAAGCTGAGTGTGGGAAGGTGGTTCTGCTGAGGTGGGAATGAGCTTCCCAGGGTGCTGCTCACACACAGGGAAATAATTCCCAAGAAATTCCCAGCCCTGCTGCCTCAAGTGTTTTTCCCATTTTCCCTTTCCAGCTGCTGGCAGGGCTGAGGAGTATCTCCCTCCCTTCCAGCCTCCTGCTGCCTGCACTGTGAGGGGCTGAAAAAAACCCCATTTTAAAGTAGTTTGCTCTCTTTTTTTTATGATGTAGTTTATCTTCCTCCCCCTGGGATCCCCCTCACCTCAGGGGAATGAGATTTTGCCTTTCCAGGCTGTCCATGAAGTCACAGACCCAAAACCCAAACCCACAGCTGATGGCAGACAAACCAGTCTCCAGCTCCAGAGGAGACACTCGATTCTACAAAACCCCTTCAAAATATCCCAAATTGGCCAGAACTGTTACAAAACCAAGACCTCATGGCTGGAGGTGTCTCTGCCTGGCAGGGGGAGGCAGGACCAGTGTGTGTGTGGGGGCAGTGATGCCAATTCCCTCTGCAAAGCCAGTTAAAAAGAAGAAGGTAATAAAAAAGCCATCACTCTCCCAACCATATTTGACTGCACGAGGTGTTTGTGGCTCTTCCCAAACCCGGCAGGGGAACGTGGGGAGGCTCAGGATGGTGTTTAACACCCCGGGATATCACAGCTGTGGTTTGTGACAAGTGACAGGCCAGGTTGTGTACCTTAGATCATGACTTTTATTGCACCATCCGTGCAGCTCCATCCCTTCCCCATTTCTCCGTATCGCCCTCACGGGAACCACGATGGTTTTACTTCCAAGAAATGGGTGTGTCATCTGGTAATCCCAAAAAAACCCACCCCCGTGGGTGAAGTCAGGGGGTGGATGGTCTTGATGCTCTGCCAGGCACGGATCCTGCAGGAGGCAACAGGCTCTGCTGGAGGCAGGGAGGGGAAAACTGCTCGGGGCTGATCTGGGAGGGAACTGGGAACTGCCTGGGGGTGGACTGGGGAGGCCAGTCTGGGATGGGTAATGGGCCAGGCTGGGTTGTTAACTGGTGATGGACCAATCTGGGATTAGGGGAGACAGGTCTGGAATTGGGGATGTTGGTCTGGGATTGGTAACGGGCCCATCTGGGATTGGGGATGGATGGATTTAGGACTGGGAAGGCTGGTCTGGGAGAGGCTGAGCTGTGTCTGGGGACGGGTGGCCCTGCCTGGGGCTGCAGGAGGGACACGGGGACACAGGGACATATGGACATGGGACACAGGGACACAGGGACATGGGACACAGGGACATGGGACATATGGACATGGGACACAGGGACACGGGGACACAGGGACATGGGACAC